ATAAACAAATCGGTAATTGTACGATCGACTTCATTTATGGCACAAACTTTTGTCACATAATATTGATGGTAAGTGTCTTGGTATAGTCCACAATATGTACAGTAAGGCTAAATCTTGTGTTAAAGTAAACTGTGAGTTGACTAGTTTCTTTAGTAGTTATACCGGTGTACGTCAAGGTGAAAATCTTTCACCAATTTTGTTTTCTATCTTTTTGAACGATTTGTCAGAATTTGTATCTAATAAATATACAGGACTTGTAAATATCTCTAACGCAACTCGGGAATGTCTTAGTGACGATGTCATTGATGTTTATGTTAAATTGTTTCTTCTGTTATATGCTGATGATACAGTGCTTTTAGCAGAAAGCAAAACTGATTTGCAAGATGCCTTAAATGCTATGAGTGAGTACTGTAATATGTGGAATCTTGTTGTAAATGAAGCTAAGACTAAAGTAGTGGTTTTTAGTAAGTCAAAACCTAAGGATGACTTTGATTTCATGTACAATGGTAAAAAGCTTGATTTGGTAGATAACTTTACTTACCTTGGAGTACTTTTTAATTATAATGGTAAATTTTTTGAAATCAAAGAAAATTCTTGTTGATAGTGCTAGAAAGAGCAATGTTTTCTGTGATCCAAAAGTCACGTAAATTGTGTTTACCAATTTCTTTGCAACTACATTTATTTAACTCTATGGTTGTACCTATTCTTCTTTATGGAAGTGAAGTTTGGGGATTCGAACAAGTTCAAATTTTTAGAGAAATTTCAGTTGTATTTTTGTAAATTTATTTTGAATTTAAAAGCTTCTACACCTAATTGTATGGTTTATGGTGAGTTAGGCATATTCCCATTAGCCTTACAAGTGAAAGCAAGAGTTTTGTGTTTCTGGAGTAAAAATTATAAATGCTAAGGAAAATAAGATATGTAAACTTCTTTATAAAACAATGTTGTCTTTGTCCTCTAGGAATATTGTTAATTCTAAATGGATAAATTTTGTGAAAGAAACACTTAGTAATCTTGGCATGTCAGAATATTTTCATTTACAGAAGGTAGATAATATTAATCACTTTAAAAATGTTGTGAAGCTTAGACTACAAGATCAATTTTTACAAGATTGGCATAGTACTATTGACACATCCTCTAAGTGTTTAGTGTATCGTACATATAAAAATACTCATTGTTTTGAAAAAATATCTAGATGTACTTCCTTTTGACATAGGCAAATATTTATGTAAATTTAGAACAATGAATCACCTATTACCAATCGAAAAAGGCAGACACTTGGCAATTGATCAGAATAATAGGGTCTGTTCCTTATGTCCGTATCAAGCTATTGGTGATGAATTTCACTACTTATTTGAATGTTCGTACTTTAATGACATAAGACGTAAATCTCTTCATCCCAGGTTTTACACTCATCCCAATATTTTTAAACTTGACACATTAATGAATAGTTGTGATAAAAATATTCTTCTAAAATTATCTTTATTTTGTAAAAACATTATGTTAAAATTTAGATAAGTAATACTTCTCATTCTCCGTTCTCATTTGTTACAATATAAAATACATGTTGTATTGAATTCAGAACTTGAAATGAACAATATGATCTCCTTTTTGTTTATTAAGCTAGTCATATTTGTATTTTTATATTGTGATACTAGTGATTTTTGACTGTTATTTTTCTGTTTGTTTGTTGTTATAACCAGTTGCATATTATATGCCTTGGTTTAATAAAAACTGAAACTGAAACTGGCTTTTTTGGGTTAACCTGTCGATAACTGTAGCACTTGCTCTAGATCAAAACCCAGATATAGTTACAGCCACAGAGTCATGGCTAAATAAAGAAAACTATAACAGTGAAATTTTCCCACCTGAACTCGGCTACACAGTTTTTCGCCGTGACAGACTCAAAGGTAAGGGTGGTGGAGTGTTTATCCTTGTAAAAAACAACCTCCTACCAAGTAAACAACCAAAACTGAACACCGATTGTGAAATAATATGGATAAAAATAGAAATCAAAGGTAGTTAAGTCACTTTTTCTGGTATCTTATTACAAACCACACGAACTTGATATGAATAGTATTTTAGAATTTGAAAAATCCCTTGAACTTGTGCGTAACTTAAAAGGTACAAAGTTAATCCTTGGCAATTTTAACTTCCCAAAATTAAATTGGGACTCTGAACATACACCATATCTTAAAGAAGGCTTAAACACAAGTCCTGTGTATGATAAATTCCTGAACATCATTGATGATCATAACCTTGTACAAATGGTCAATGAAAGTACACGAAATGACAATATTCTTGATTTATTGCTCATTTCAAACCACACTCTTGTAAACAACGTCAAGGTCATACCTGGCATATCAGATCATGACATCATATCCACAGAAATATCTTCTAGGCCTACCCTCCTCAAACAAAAGCCTCGTACTTGCACCTTGTATAAAAGGCAAATTGGACTGAGTTGAAAACTTTCATTAAAACCTCAACATCTGAAATACTCCAAAAAGCTGAATCTTTGTCTGTTGAAGAACTTTGGGCGCAGTTCAAACACACACTTGAGGATGGCATATCAAAATTCATACCCACTAAAAGAATTACAGCTAAACCATCTTTGCCCTGGATAACAAAATCCATTAAAAATTAATTCATAAAAGAGACCAGCTCTATAAAAATATTAAAAAACCAAAAACAAATAAAAATAAATCTGATCATGAAGAATGGCTAAAATTTAAAAATTTGAAATCGCAAATAAAAGCTAGAATTAAACAATCATATGAGTCTTACTTAGAAAACATCCTGAACCTTGTAGATGATAATGATGAAACTAATACACAAAGTAAAGTCTGTACCAAAAACTATACACACTTATAAAAAAAACTCTAAAAAAGATTCACAAAGTGTGTCTCCATTAAAAGATCAAAAGTCTGGTTCTCTCAAAATTAAGAACACTGAAAAAGCAAACATTCTTAACAAACAATTTCAATCAGTTTTCTCACCAATTATACCACTTACACTTAAAGATCAATGCATACAAAAACTGAGACTCATGGATCCCAGAGAGTAGTGTCAGTACCCACAAATGAATGACATCATCATCAGTAGGGCAGGTGTACTAAAGCTCCTCGCCAACCTCAATGCCAACAAAGCTGCCGGCCCTGACAACATTAGACCAATTGTCCTGAAGGAGCTGAGAGAAGAGATTGTTGACATCGTTGCAGTTCTTTTCCAAAAATCCCTGACCACCGGTAATATTCCCAATGACTGGACCCGTGCAAACGTATGCCCTGTCTACAAAAAAGTGATACAAGTGATCCAGCAAACTATCGCCCAATACGTTTATTTAGAAAGCCATGTTATATCTTGACCGGAAGTTCAGTACTCTTTTTACCCATCATGCAATATAGTTATAAATAGCAGACTACAGTAATGAAGGATATTACATCCCTCCTCTTCTTGGATTGAAACATCATCTTATATAAATTTATTATTGTGAATATTATTAAGTCAATATTTTTTTTTTAATTAATGATTTTTTTTTAGTTCTAAATACAATAAATATTCAAATAACCAAAATCATAAACATGTACATTAATGTATATAATATTTCTACAGATGGAACACAAATTCAGCATCGAACTGTAATTGTCCGAGTTTGTTTATATCAGCATTCCTTACTCCACGTGGTCTGTTATAAAGCAATTAATCATGAGGAAAACTGGGAACTGTCCGAATTCCAACCGTTTGTAGGTCAGTTTTACTACAGCTTTATTACCAATGAATAACGTTAGTCAATGAAACATTTCTACTACTTGAGCAATATCAGACATAATTATTACACTTTACAAACATGGATAATTTCCTTGTCTCTCCAACATCATTATTAATTAAACACATTAGTTATTTTTTTTTATTTGATATCCTTGAGTTTGATAATATTTAAATGATATAAAAGCATTTAATATTATAAAACCTATAATAAACTCCAGAGGGGATATTCCAGTATGCTCCACTATATGTGTGTATTGTCAAACATTCATTCATTATATAGTTCGCTATTTGGGTATTATATATATTTATTAACTTGATTAATTATTCATGTTCTCGAATATAATAATTACTTTGATAATTCTACATTTAATCAAACACATATATATATATATATCCATGATGTACAATCGAATAAAACACATACGATTGGCATTATTATGGCCAATTCACTTTCTTTTAAAATACACGCTCTGTTAGCGCGGCACATAATCTTTTAAGTATGGTGGAGGACGTCTGTCACGTGTTGGCCTTGTCCTCGCCAAACCCGATTGCGGACTCGCGTGTGAATTCTGTTCATTTCCTATTATCTCCCCTTCATCGAGGTCGTTTTCAGATGTTTCCGGTTCCTTCCCGACAATTCCAGGATCAACAGTTTTCATAACTGACGAATTTCGAGTCATACAATGACCAGCATCGCTCCTAACACTTACCATTGTGCCTTTTCTGTCAATAACCGTATATGGCGTAGGTTTGTATATTGAATCAGATTTTGTTCTGGCTTCATTTCTAACTAACACACGATCCCCTACGTTAATTGATCTGTCCCTTGCATGTATCCGTTCGTCTTTATAACGTTTTGTTTTCATTTTCGAAAAGTCGTCGTTCTGTTGCGCTATTTCTCTCGTTTGAAGATTTCCACTTTTACCATGACCGATGTTTGGCATTCGAGTCGTCGGATCTCTACCAAACATTAACTTGAATGGCGTATAACCAGTCGATACGTGTGGTGTCGCTCGGTATTGTCTTAAGAAATCATACAGTCCTTGTTTGTAGTTTCGCGCCTCAATAAATGAAGATTTTACACTCTTCATCAGTGGTTTATTGAAGGATTCTGCTTGGGCATTTGCTCTTGGCCATCTCGGTGTGATTTTCCGATGAATTATGCCGTAAAATTTCATGAAGTCGGCAAAATGCTTTACTTTGAAATGGAGACCCATTGTCGGTTTTTATCACTTTCGGTATATAGCAAACATTGATACAATCTTGTCGAACACCGGTATAACTGTGTTTGCTGAAATATTTTTTATTATTTCAACTATCGGATATCTCGAATACTCGTCTATTACCACAAGTAAATAGTCCCCGTTTTCTAACGGACCACAAAAGTCAGCGCTTATATTGAGCCAAGGTCCCGACGGCAATTCACTCATTCTCAAAGGTTCACGCGGTCTTTGTTCATTTGAATTTGATTGACATGCTAAACACTTTTGAATTGCAGCTTCGATTTCAGAATTCATGTTTGGAAAATATATTTTCGATCTTATGTAACTTTTTGTTTTCACAATTCCTTGGTGACCTTCATGTCCTAGTTTTATTGCTTTTTCACGGAGTGATTTTGGAATCACTAGTTTATCATTTTTCATCAATAATGTTTCATGATACACAGTCAGTTCGTCCTTTATACTACGAAAAGATGATAATTCTTCTTTGTCTATTTCTGGGTCATTCAGTGTTTTCAATTCATACCATTTACCATTCTTTGTAAATTCGACTGCCTTTTGCATTGTCTTATCTTTCAATGATTCCATTTTTACCTCATCTACTGTCATTGCATTTGGTAATGATTGTTCTGCGACAAATGACACGTATTCCTCTGCTATATTTCGTTCTTCCATATATTTTAATGGATGACGGGACATAAAGTCTGAGGGATTACCTTTCCCTGACCTATACTCTATTTTCATTTTGAACGGTTGAAGTCGCAATCCCCAACGTTCGATTCTTAGTGGTGGTTGTTTCTTTTCCCAAATTTTAGTTAACGGCATGCAATCTGTAATGCATGTGAATGTTGGTGCTCCCTTTAGATACATCGCAAAATGTTCGCATGACCATACCAAAGCCAGTGCTTCTCGTTCTGTCTGACTGTACCTCGTTTCCACTTGTGTTAAAGATCGAGATGCATAAGCCACCACCTTGCCTTCTTGTGTGAGTATTCCCGAGACTCCCACAGGTGATCCATCTGTTATTACTTCAATGTCTTTGCTCGGATTGAAGTATGCCATGACAGTTTCACTGCTCAGTTCACTTTTTAATTTCTCGAATGCTGCTTGCTGCTCACTGCCCCATTCCCATTGAGTGTCATTTCTTGTAAGACGTCGTAACGGTTCAGAGATTGTCGCGTAGTTTCGTATAAACTGTGACGAATATGACGTCATTCCCAGAAAACTTCTCATTTCCGTCACATTTGAAGGCTCCAGCATTTGTTTGGCTGCCTCTACCTTCTGAGGTGAAGGTGACATTCCATTTTGCCCGAATACTACTCCAAAAAAAGTGATTTCCTTTTTATTGAACTCACATTTAGATCTGTTTAATGTCATGCTACTTTCGTGTATAGCCTGGAAAACTTTATCTAATGCTTTATCGTGATCACTTTGATTTTTCGCGTATACAATAATATCATCCGAAATATTTTTAGATCCCTCTATACCCTGTATTACTTCACTTATGGTCTTTTGAAATACCTCACTAGCAGAATTTGTCCCAAAATTCAAACGTTTATACCGATAAAGCCCCATGTGTGTAGCAAATGTTGTGATATACCGCGATTCTTCTTGTAAGACAAGCTGATTGTACCCGGCTTTAAGGTCAAGCTTGCTGAATATTTTTGCTCCATTCATATCATAAATTAGTTCATCTATCGTCGGCATTTGATGTCTTTCCCTTTCTATGGCTTTATTGGCCTCTCTCATATCAACACAGAGTCTAACATCGCCATTTTGTTTTGGAGGTGTGACTATTGGTGAAACCCAAGGTGTATGTTCATTTATAACTTCTTCAATAATATCATTTTCTAACAAGGTATTAATTTCTTTTTCTACTTTTTCTCTCAAATGAAATGGTTTTCTTCTATTTCTTTGTGCTACAGGTTTCACATTTGGATTGATGTGCAATTTCACGGTTTTGTGTTTTTTTTAGTTTTCCAATACCTTTATAAATTCCAGGGTATTTATCCTCAATCTTTGTTTTCAAGGAGATGTTCTGTGTAATCTTGACTAATTCCATTTCACATGATGTATCATAGCCGATTAAAACTCCATAATTTCCTTTCACCAGATAAAATTTTGCTACGGTTATTTTATCATTCTTTTCAACAGATAAATTCATATACCCTTTTACTGGAAGCGGATTTCCTCCTCCGTAAGGCAAAAGGTTTGGTAAATATTTTCGTTGAATTTTAGGTTTTCCAATGTAATTATAAGTCCTTTCATCTATAATGTTAACACTTGAACCTGTATCAATCGTTGCTGTTATTTTCTTTTCATTCACTGTTATTTTTGTTTGAGGCGTTTTCCTTTTGTTTTCTTTTGCGACACTTTTAACTGATATGTTATAGAGGAATTCTTCCTCTGAATTGGACTGTAAATCCTCTTCACGGCTTACTTCGTTTAGGGGGCAGGGGACCTAAAAATGAAAAATTTTGTATTTCAGTGTGACCAGAAACACAATTCCAAATATTTCAAAATCTGTTTCACAGGCAGATAACCAGTTGCACAGCATTATTCAATGATATATGACATACATTGAAGAAAATAATAGTTTGCATGCATTGCTCCTTCAAAAAATGACTGACAGCAATTTATATTTACCCCCACCCAGCCAAAATCACACCTAAAATATACCAATATAGGCAATCTTCATGAAGGTGCAGCATACTCCATAATCCGCCCGATTCCTTTAAAAATATCAGTAACACGCAGTGCAAGCTATGGCATTTTCAGAAATGACAAATAAAGTGTCTGTCATACGTTTAGATTTTTCACAAAATTTATCTGAAGTTTCTTACTTGTTTGGCGCCAACTGTCAAAGCTTGATTTTTAACTTTTTCACCTCCATTCGGAGAGTCAGAAATACATACAAAGGTACCAAAATGCTTAGTTTCGGGTAAAAACCCAAAAATATATCTCATTTCCTACACACAAACAAGAAAGAATTACAATGACAGAGAAATATCAGAAGTTATCAGTACCTTCAAAACACCATGTCTGAGTTATTAAAAAATTTGACCGGGGCCATCATTCGAATATGTCCCCTGCCCCCTTACTTTGCTTCGTTTTGATTTCAGACAACACCGCGCAAAATGGCCAACTGTTGAGCATGTGTTGCAGGTTTTCCCTTTTGCTGGACAAGGGGTACCTCTGTGGGGAAATTCATATCCGCAATTCCTGCATTTATTGGTTGGCAACGCGCGCCGATAATTCCCGCGCTGATACGATTGGCCAGTCTCCCGAAAATTCCCACGGTTCTGCGAGTTAAATCCACGTCGTGCAGCCGTTCTCCCACGTGTTGTTCCACCTCGCCCTCTTCGTGCGTAATTTGATACTTTCCTTACTAAGTTTTGGTCATTTTTCTCCATTGCTTTGGCGTGTTGGTCACTTTGTTCAAGCATCCTACCTATAGTTAAAATAGCATCCAGTTTTTTGTCAGGTTCACGTAAAGCCCTACGACGTAACTGGTTATATTTCCCGTGCTGTATAACTTAATTGCTGCAATATTTCGCCATCAATATCTGTAAACCCACAGGTTTTTGCAAGTGTCCGTAATTCCGTTACATATTCGTCAAGGGATTGTTCTTCTGACTGTTTATATGTTCGAAAATTGTATATCTCTATTTGGATGTTCTTCTGTGGCGAAAAATAGTCTCCAAGCACTTTCTTTGTTGCGTCATATGTTTCTTCCGTCTCTTTCTTCTCAACGTCATAAATATCATAAACATTTTCACCGGCGTAGTGTAATAATAAAGCTCTTTTTTGGTCATCATCGTCCACTAACATTCCCTTGAATAAATTCTCTAAACGACCAATCCATTTTTCCCACCGTGCTCCTGAATTTGTTTTGTCCGTCTCAAGATCGAAACTTGGAAAATGTGGCAAGTTGTTCATTTTTTATTAGTTTACTTCGTTATCCATCCATAAACTAGTAACATTCTTATATCCAGATAATTCTTAAACGGTTAATCACATATCTTGATATCCTCGTCGCCAGATGTTATGTCCAGGGTATAGATATTATAAGAAACACATTTGATTGTAACTACGTTTATTTAGAAAGCCATGTTATATCTTGACCGGAAGTTCAGTACTCTTTTTACCCATCATGCAATATAGTTATAAATAGCAGACTACAGTAATGAAGGATATTACACTCCCTCACTCTAGATAGTGTGACAGCCATGCAGGAAGAACTGGGCTGGCGATCCCTTGAACATCGCAGATTGAACTGTAGACTGATAATGTTTTATAAGATATACTATAACCTAGTTGCAATTAATCTCCCAACATATGTTCAAACCCCGCATAGATTAACCAGACATATGCACCCCTTATCCCTACGCCAAATACAGGTATCCTCCGACTACCATAAGTATATACTCTTTCTTCCCTCATAGCAAATATACTATAGTTATGGAATAAACTTCCTGCCACCCTGCCCAACCTGAGTCAGTTCATACAGGCAGTGGTGGGTTTGCAGTACTAGTCTTACTCCCAGTGTTTTTAAACTATTTTATCTCTTATCATCTTGTTTCACTATTAACATTTTAACCATGACTAGAATACATTTTCAGTCTCACCTTCCAAGCATGTTGACCAATGTTTGGAGGACTTTTCTTTTTTAGCTTTTCTTTTCACCCTTTACTAACAACCGACGTGCACTAAATTCCTGCCTTTAACACTCGTAAGAGGGGTTGGCAGTATCCAGAGATAGATAGCTATCGTAAGCATTACGACTAAAAGTGAAACTGAAGACCACACTATATACCGTATTTTTACAATAGACGGGCGTTACGGAATATACCCATTACCAACTTCCGGCGAGAGGTCACAACCGAAAGTAAGTTTAAACTTGTTTAAACTTTGATGTCTGTTTATGCATTTTGTATGATTATATTTGATGACTTAGATAAATACATAAAATTAAGCAATTTACATATTAGTTTGCAGTTTGTTACAGTTTATAGCTCAGGTAATAGGACAGCAGTCCAACGGATAGAACTCGTTAAAAATTATGTGATAATCTGATAATGTGTTGTCTTCTTTGTTTGTCTATTTGTTTGATTTGTTCTATAAATTTGTCTCTAGGTTTTATATATTTACCTTGGTAAAGAAATTGGGAACAAGATACACTGCTCCGCAGACACTTCACTCCTCAAATTTTTGAAACACTTCACCCCTCAAGACAATTCACCCTCTAGTCCTGTAAAATTAAGACGTCGCTTTGAGAATTACATTGTAGTAACGATTCGCCACATAACAATTCATCACAGTGTAATACCTATTCGCCACAATGTTTAGCCAGAGTTGGATTATAACAATAATTGTTTAATTGTGACAGGTCTAAAATTTAAATTAATAAACTCGATCGTTTCCTTTTGAAGTTTAACAGTTAAAGAACTATGATATCAACACCTTTTTGAAAACCTAGCTAAACACCGTTTTCCGGCTCTGGGGAATTACACCAAATGAAGTGCATAACACTAGTGATGTTCCGATTGTGGCAAGTCGCCGATAATCAGTTACTGTTATGTAAAAAGACAATAATCGATTCACAAAAATTTGTTCCGCGACGTCGTCAAAAATGTTTAAAGTTTCAAAGGGAATTAATTCTGACGGTAATTTTCTTTTAGGTACACCTCGCAGATCGCAAAATATCACTCGGAGACAATTTGGAGTTGAACAGGATCAATAAGTGATGTAAACAATAGTAATATAATGTGATGTGAATGATATTATTTGACATCCATTGAAAAATAAATCTATTTCGTAAATGTATGACTATATAAGGTTAAACCTGTGTTGAAAAGTGCTATAAATGAAGTTCATGTTACTAAATATAATGAAGTGCTTGGTAAAAAAAGTTACTTCCCTATTTCTTTTTAACGCGACTTCATTCGAAAGTTATCGATTATGTCCCATCCGACTGAACCGATGATCGATTGTGACAAATTTCATCCGATTTCCATCACTACATAACACAGTTACGTGATATTTCTATTTTTCTATCATTATTTAACCGTTTAAGGTGAAAAAAATTGATGTTTTTGAAAATTATCAATATTCCTTTCATATCTATTGCAAAGTATTCAAAAAAATAAATTATTTATAATGAAAATCAATAAAATTCAAACAGACGTAGTGGAATCTTCCATAATAAATAAGGTTATTTTCTGCATAAACTTGTGAATTTACTTTATTTTTTGTATGGAATTATTCATACAATGATATTTAATTATTTTCTTATAAAGAAATAACTGTTTTATTTCAATTTAAATTGAAAAAAGGCTGAAAACAAAGAGTTCGCTATAACACTCCATCTAAGGTGAATTCCCCAGAGCTATGTACAGAAAGTACCGGAAAACGGCGTTTAGCTAGGTTTTCGAATTGGTGAATTGGATACAGAATTTTCTCATTAATAGGAGAAAGAGGGTTTGAGTTGAAGATAGTTTCCCTATTTGGTCTCGGTCAAATATCACGTCACAGTGAATTTTTCCTCATATAAGTGGAACAAAATAATGGACCCATTCACAATCGCGAATTGTCTTGAAATCACAATTTTCAGAATGGGTCCGATGGACCTGTTCACAATTCTGCAAAAATTCACAATCTAACATAAATTAAGCTAACAGTTTCGTCTTTTTCCTAATTTTTTCTAATATAAGTGATTAAAATCTTAATTTGTCTTTGTGTTGATGTATGTAAAATTAACATGTCATCTTACTGTCGGTATTCAAACTAAAAGTTGAGTTGCTTCCTTAATTTGATTCACAGATATTTTTTTTTTATTACAGTTTAATCAAGTAAATGTCCGAAATGGCAAAACTATATGTTAAACCAGGGTCTTTCAATTAGATAAAACCCAAGTTAATGGGAATTTTGCAGCAGTATTTTTAATAATTTAAACTTTGTGGACCAAGATTTTTCAAGCTGAATGAATTGAGATTGAGTCTTCCAGTCGTATGGTTACCTAATAATGAAAGGCATTTTTCAGCGAACTGGTCAATTTTTTAGAACATATTCTGATTAAATATATAGGTAAAAATCCGATTAAAGTGTAACAGACAAAATTTTAATATGCCCTCAAAGAGCGGTAATTCCTTGTGAAATATCTGAAAAATGGTCATTTGGGTAAATTTTCATTTTTAAGAAAAAATACAAAATTTGTTTCTTTTTATAATTGTTACGGTGCTGGATACATTCACATTTTAAGGAAAAAATTGCTTCCTCAGGAGTTCCTCAAGGTTCAGTCCTTTTTATACGCCCGTTTGAAAAACGGGACTTATTATGGGAACGCCCCTTGCGGGCGGGCGGCGTCCAATTTTGTCCGGAGCATATCTCCTACATGTATGGAGGGATATTAATGAAACTTCATAGAAATGTTCACCACTATGAGGAGCAGTGTCGCGCACATGAACCAGGTCTCTAGGTCAAAGGTCAAGGTCACACTTAGAGCTCATTGAAAAATGCTTGTCCAGAGCAAAACTTCCACATGTATAGAGGGATTTCAATATTACTTGGCACAAATGTTCACCATTGTGAGGTGGAGTGTCGCGCGCAAGATTCAGGTCCTTGCAGCCAAGGTCAAGATCACACATAGAGGTCAAAGTTCAGATAAAAATTTGAAGATGTGTATATGGACCATTTAGTCATCATTTATTGAGGGATTGTAACACAAATGGTCATTATCAAGACTATGGCTGTGATACATATAATTTAGGTCAATATATACAAGGTCAAGGTCACCAAAGATGATGAAATATCCAGATTTTGTACGGAGCATATCTCCTACAGGCATGGAGGGATTTTAATGAAATTTCATAGAAATGTTCACCATTATGAGAAGCCATGTCACGCACATGAACTAGGTCTCTAGGTCAAAGGTCAAGGTCACACTTAGAGCTCATTGAAAAACCCTTGTCCTGAGCAAAACTTCCACATGCATAGAAGCATTTCAATATAACTTGGCACAAATTTTCACCATTGTGAGGCGGAGTGTCGCGCACAAAATTCAGGTCCCTGCAGCCAAGGTCAAGGTCACACATAGAGGTCAAAGTTAATATAAAAATACGAAGATGTGTATAGAGACGATTTAATCATCATTTATTGAGGGATTGTAACACAAATGGTCATTATCATGACTACGGCTGTGACACATGTACTTTAGGTCAATATATGCAGGGTCAAGGTCACTAAAGATGGTGAAATATCCAGATTTTGTCTGGAGCTTATCTCCTACATGTATGGAAGAATTTTTATAATACTTTATGGAAATGTTCACCACCATGATATGTATTGCTCCATGCATGACCCAGGTCAAAGGTCAAGGTCACACTTAGAGCTCATTGAAAAACGCTTGTCCGGAGCAAAACTTCTACATTCATAGGGGGATTTCAATATAACTTGGCACAAATGTTCACCATTGTGAGGCTGAGTGTAGCACGCAAAATTCAGATCCCTGCGACCAAAGTCAAGGTTACACATAGAGGTCAAAGTTCAGATAAAAATTTGAAGATGTGTATAGGGACCATTTAGTCATCATTTATTGATGGATTGTAGCACAAATGGTCACTATCATGACTACAGGTGTGACACATTTAATTTAGGTTAATATTTGCAAGGTCAAGGTCACTGGAGATGATTAAATATCCAGATGTTGTCCGGAGCATATTTTCTACATGCATGGAGGAATTTTAATGTTACTTTATAGAATTGTTCACCACCATGAGACGTAGTGCCCTGCACATGAACCAAGTCTCTAGGTCAAAGGTGAAGGTCACAGTTAGAGCTCATAGAAAAACGCTTGTCTGGAGCAAAACTTCTACATGCATAGAGCACTGTGAGGCAATCGGTGCGTGGCTTGGATAGTATACATGTACATGACCACGTCCACTTATTTTTTTATAAATTTTTTTTTTTTCACTAATAAAATATTTTTTTATTCAAAATGTTTTTAAAATATTTTATTTTCAATAAACCAACAAAAAAAATTTTTTTAATAAAATATTTTAAAAACATTTTGAATAAAAAAATATTTTATTAGTGAAAAAAAAAAAATTTATAAAAAAATAAGTGGACGTGGTCATGTACATGTATACTATCCAAGCCACACACCGATTGCCTGTGGCATAGAGGGATGTCAATATAATTTGGCACAAATGTTCATCATTGTGAGGCTGAGTGCCGTGCATAAAATTCAGGTCCCTGCGACCAAGGTCAAGGTCACACATCCTGTGCATATCTTCCCTACTGATTTGTTTTAAGGTTCATTTAACAACACAGTGCCAAGAATAAAAACTTGCTTGCTAGATAACACTTATCCATAATGCCCCCATCTCCATCTAAAGCTTTCGTAAACGGGCGTATTTTGTGACTATGGCACCTTTGTTTATTTATCATTTACATAAATGACTTACATGCAAATTATTTGCTGATGATAGCAAATTATACAGTAAGATATATTCTCAAAATGATCAATTGTTACTTCAACAAGACGTAGTAACATTTATGCGACTGGTCAGAGGACTGGCTGCTTCAATTTTCTATTCCAAAATTTTAATAGCTGCAGATTGGTTACATCAAGCTCCTATATGTCTAGTTGTCTACAAAATGAAAGACTGATCCAGTCAAAATATTTCTTTACTTAAAAGATCTCAACATACTTACTTTATATCAAGTTGTTTTCCTTTTTTTCTTTTCAGATTGCTTAACATTAGAAATTTTTTTCTCAGCATCTTGGCATTGACCCTTGTTGCAGGATGATTATACATCAAGTTAAAGTCATGAAAAGTTGACCTTTCTGTACTTGAATAAAATCCAAAACTGGTCTTTCCATACTCAACAATCACTGCCAGATAACTTAAGGTAGATACTTAATTATAGTAATATTTTTATTAAGGGATAACCTTGCATAATTTTTATAATGGACTTGTCTTTCTGCAAATCCAGTTATGTTCATTATAAATTAACCCTTAATTTGCAGGAACCAAAAGTGATAAGCCTTTTCCACCTGTATAGAGCCAGGCCAGCCTTTGATAGGCTCTATATTGTTGGTAGCTTAATAATGTTAATATTATTTTTATCCAATGAGTTTAATAAATTCAGTATCAAACCTACAAGAATATAATATTCTATTTATCAAATACTCAACATAAAAACTTTTTAAAGTGAAAAAGAAATATTTTTCATGACACGCCTTTAGTGTTACATTTAGATTTAGTGTGTCTTTTCAAAATGTTTGTATAACGCAAATGACGTCACATCAAAATATATGCAAGGCGTGCAATTCAATTTTACGGAGTCGCAAAAGCGGCACAGGCATGTGATAAAAAAAGTTTTAATCAGTTATAACTTATTGTTTATTATACAAAATAAATTGTGCACACTGTTTTACAACAGTTTATTTGCTGCATTTTAATAGAACCAAAGTCAACATGGTCCTTTTTCTGTAATTCTACTCTTTCAACCATGCAGACCACGATCAGCTGGCGGGTCCATGCTATCTGATCATGGTTTGCACAGTTTATTGTTCATTCAGTGCATATATATTTTAAAATAATTCCTTAACCCTTAAAGTGCTGGAACCAAAAGGTTAAGCCATTGTCACCAGTATAGAGTCAAGCCAGCCTGCATATCCGTGCATTCTGACCAGGCTCTATACTGTTGGCTGACAAACTTTAAATGTTCAAATCTATAAAATTGATAATTGACAGTCCCAAACAGGGCTCTACAAATCCTATAGTCCGGGACAACTCTAAAACCACTTGGGACAACTGACAATTAGCAGAAAGTTAGTCCCGGACTAGTCAAATTTTGACGGATGCTTATCTTGGACAACTGTAAAATTATGTTTATTAATACGACCCTTCAGTCCTTCACAGCATGGTGCGCCGGTAATCTTCGCCTGAGGCAATCAATCTCAGCAGTTGCTACGCTGATTAATTTTACATTGCCACAGGCAATCAAAATAGATAAGACACTAAAAATGGAAGTGGGACAAGTTCATTTAAAATATTCAGCACGTTTCATAAGGTTAAAAGTGATGAATGGTTTTGTTCCGATTGAAAGATTGACAAGTTCATCAAAGATATTTATCATGATAAAGGTTAATACCACCAATCTATCTGATTCAACAAAATTTGAGCCATGTCACGACAAAACCAGTGTAATGTGTTTGCAACCAGCATGGATGCAGACCAGACTTCTCATCCGCGCAGTCTGATCAGGATCCATGCTATTCGCCATTTGCTATCAGTTTCTCTACTTGTAATAGGGTTTCTAAGCGAACAGCATGGATCCTGATCAGACTGCGCGGATGCGTAGGCTGGTCTGGATCCATGCTGGTCGCAAACGCATAACGTTGGTTTTCTTGTGACGCAACTTATTTTATTTTTCTGTAATCATAGATGGAGAAGAGACACAAACAGATATTGAAAGATAAGCGGCCAGATTTGGTTGAAAGCTTAAACATGATTGGTGGGCTCTTTACACAGTTGATTAGTAGAGATATATTAGATCAGAGGATGGTCAGGACAATAAAGGTTTGTTTTCCATTGTTAAGTCTAGCTGGAAAAGTTAGGACATATTTTTTTAAGTTTTCATATTCTTCTCACTGAGTTGTATTGCTGTCAAGGTGAATTTTATGAAATGTTCTTGATACATAAGCCTTAGCTCTAAGAAATAAATACATTTTACCTTCTGTAAAAAGGGTCTGACAGCATTGTTGTTTTTTTAATGTTTTGATAATGGATTTAGAACATGTGAGAATAGCATTGATTGTGAAATAAGTTTGTGAAATATGTAAACGTAGCAAAAAATGTAAACAAAGTAGTATTTTGACTTCCATACGCAATACTAAATCACTGTAAATACACTAATTGAAAGATGATTCAGGTATATAGCCAGTGGCAATGAGAAACATTTTGCAAATATAAAAGGACTCTAAAAATAAAAATTGTTGGTAAAATAAAAATGATCGTTTTTAAGCTTAATGGACCTTCAGGTCACTTGACACATTTTCTACCCAGACTAATTGATTCAGTGTTTATAATACATAGGAATGTTTGTTACATTTTGGAAGAGTGTGGAAATAATTTAACAAAAAAAAAAATTTTTCTAAACATAAATGGCTTTATTATTTTGCATAATACATTTAAGTCATATATAATTGATGATACCATGTACAGTATTTTATTAAATTTTGATTATTTTAATTCTTGTAAAAGGATGAAGGTCTTCATGTTTTCTGACAGTTTGAACTTGCACCTATGCCTTCACCACTCAGTCATATTGGCACCAAAATGTCAGAAAATGTCAAGAGATGGTTGCATGAAAATATATTTTTATCTTCCTTAACCATTAATTAAGGCAGATATATCTCTTTTACATATTTACATAGAAATAATTATCATTTTATATATGGATTTTAGAATGGAAAGACAGAAGATGAAATGGCTGAGGGTTTACTAGATTTTTTACCAAAATCTAACCAAGGAGAAAAGACATTTGACCTTTTCTGTGAGGCTTTAATAGCTGACTCCCAGAGTAGTATTGTGAGATTGTATCTCAAGCCAGACAGCAAGAAGGAAACAGAAGAGAAAAATGTTGTGCAGGAATCTAATGGAGCAAATGCTGTCGAAGACACACTATCACAGGTATCTGGGTCACAGGTGACCGGACTCGGTCAAACCTATGTCAATATAGGAGAGGTTGTAGAATACAGAGACGGTGAACGTTCGGTCCAGAGTCCAGGTCACGTTCAGACTGTAGCCATTCGAGAGGAACTGCAGACACAGATGTATAGACGTAGTATCGAACCAAGAGATCTGCATCACTCCCAGTCTTCCCCAAACTTGCCTAGCAATTCTGAACACGATGCCATGTTCTTTTATCAAAACACTCTTAGAAATCCACATGCTGTGTACAGTGTTTTAAATGATAGGTGCTCTAATAGATCAGACAAAGAAAGACAGTTGTTCAATATGGGCTTGCCACTTGCTTCAGTTTCACAAATCATGAACGATTACTATATAGATCCATTGTTAGTTAGTGATTCTGGAGGTATAGGTCTTCCAAAAAATGTGTCTTCCAAAGATATTTCCCAAAATCCCTATGCTCAAAAACCAAATGTGTTCAACAGATCTCCATATACAGAGATTAATCCAGCTTCCAGTGGACTTGTTTTAGGAATGAGTCCACAAAAATCATTTGCTTTCCAAACTAGAGATAAGAATTATCCACCAGTATTACAAGAAAGACACTTCCTCAATGCTAGTAAAGAGTATATGGAAAGAGTACAAGGTGTAGACAGAAGTAGTGAACAAGAATTGGAAAATATATATTGTAGACAAAATGAAGAGCGATTCAGTGACAAAATCAAACAAAACTATGAAAGATATAATGAAAATTCCTCGAGTCGTAGAAATTTAACTCCACAAGTTGAGGAAATCCATCCAAGTCCATCCAGATATTCCGAGGCTCGTAGTATGGTTGAGATTGACAGGCATATAGAAACAAACAACAGCTGTGACGGTAGTCTGCAGCGAAGTATGATGTCATTCCCTCGACATGTAACACTGTTGCCAACCGCCGGTCATCCTGATCTCCATGGTAAAGACTCATTAAGGGGAGATAATGGCCAATCACCGAGGCTGCTGAGGAATGACAGTGTTGGTATGTACACTTCTATTTGAACTTCCCTTTTTTTGATATCAGTAATGATACCTTATCATTTTGCATTGTTGTAGACATTTAATCACATAGCTTGATAGATGGTACAGCTTCATTTAATAAGGTACATATACTGGTAACATTTGGTTCACTGATTAATTTTTCTTTTGAAAGACAATTAAATATAATTTGCTTGAATGGGCAGTGGTGTTGCCTGTTGGGTGACAATATGTATATCAGCTTAGCATTCACTGAGAAGTTTTCTGGGCCTATGCTCTTATATGATTATTAAGGTTGTATAACAAACTACATGTATTAATTTTACAAACAGGTGTAACACATTATACATGTTTGTGTCTCAAGAAATGATTTTGAAGATATTTTTCATTATTCCAGATACCATGCATAAAAGACCATTGACAGAAGAAATTGAAACTGGTGGTAAGTCTTTTAGTCCTATAGCTACATATGAAAGGCAATGGAAAAAGGCATTTTATATTGCTCACATATTGTTGTCACAAATTACTTGAGCAGTATATTGTACATACAAGGAAATACTGACAAATTGTTGCCATAATATTATGACTTTTATAATGTCAGTGTTACTTAAAACCCTGATCAATCCAGATAGATGTTCATCTGTAGAAAATGACCATATTTTCATTACAAATCTTCTGAGGATATAATATTAACTAATCAGAAATCTTTTTTCAAAGAAGAAACAATTTACCATTAATTAACCTTAAAATTAAAATTAACCTTACAAATTTATACGGCATTAAAAGGAGTACAGAGCAGTATAATCTATTTCAAGCTATTTGCAACCACTTGAACATTTGTTTTCATCTTGACGAATATCATACCAAAGTACATGTACTTTTATTAAAAAGTCATGTTTGTTAATTTTCAATAAAGTGTGAGTTGCTTACACAAAGTCTTTGCTAAACCTGTTAAGGTAAAGAAAAATATTTTGTGAGAAAATCATTTATTCTTTACCATGTGGTATAATTAATGTGCATTGTACATAGATAACAAACACATCAGCAAGAAACTTGACATATGTGAGCATTACAATATTGTGATTTTAAAGGCTTTGAAATTTTTGAGATATATTTCACCATGCATTGATGCCTCCCTTTTATATACACAGCAAAACGTTTAAGAGAAGATGTGGATACATGCAGTCTACCAAATCTGATCCGACCTGAGAGGACTCCTACATTACCAGTGTTAGAAGCCCGAGATGATCAGATAGTGAAGATTCCAGTGCTAGAGGAGCCACGGAAACAACCGTCCATGCCCGCAGTGGTCGTACAACCTGACCAGAATCTGGAGAAAAATCAGAGGTCATCATTGTTGGGGGCCATGGATGACCCAGAGATTGACCTCACTGACGGACCAATTAATGTCAGTGTTGAACTGAGCACCAGAAAGTTTTATTTGGAACATTATAAACAGGTTAAAATAGTTGTCCAAAAAAAGTTGAATTTTTTTAAATGCACATTACTGATAAAAAACAATTCCTTTTAAAATATAGCTTGCTAAGATATAATTACATGTAATGTTTATTTAATCATGGTTGCACTATCTTTAAAAAGTACTTTAGCAGAAGCACTTCTTTGAAGTTGTAGTTAAATTTAGTTTATGAACTTTTATGAATGTTTTTTTTGTATGGATAATTATTTGTTAAACCTTATTGAGCTCTTATGTATGATTTGTAAGTATTTTTATATTGACACTATATAGAGGATATTAAATGAGTGTAAGTTCAATACTGAATTTATTGCACGAGTTGAATAAACTTATATTATGCGAGCCTCTGGCGAGCATAATATTATTTTATTCAACGAGTGCAATAAATTCAGTCATGAACTTACACGAATTTAATATTCTATTTATCACATACCCAAAATAAGACCGTTTAAAGTGAAATAAGAGTCATTTTTCTTTGACGCGCCTATAGTATAACGCTATTATTTAGCGCGTCTTTACTCTTTGTTTGTATAACGCTAATGACGTCACGTCAAAATATATGCACGGCCGTGCAATACCATATTTACGGAGTCGCAAAATCGGCACGGGTGTGTGATAAAACAATTTCCTATATGAACTACATAACAAAATACGAAAAAAGTAAAATCCTAAAATCTACATGTACTATAGGCATATGCAATGAGGAGGATACCTCGTGGTAAAGCATTGATTATGAACGTGAATGAGGTGGTGGGTAAATCAGCACGTAGAGGTACCGACATTGATAGGGACAATCTACATAATCTGTTATGTCAGATGCACTTTGATGTAACCGTTTACAATGATGCTGATGGACTTACAGCCATGGTATATTTAACATACTATCATCATAATATGTTGTTTATGATTTAGATTTTATTTTGAGTTGTCTGATCTGTATTGTAAACATTGTATTTATGTCCCCGCCACACATCGCCAAGGCTTTAAGTTTTAGATGTCAGAGATTTTCAATGTCTAATTCTCTCTGCTATGAATTTTGTTATTGAAAATAGGACATTTACTTTTTCATTTCAGTCTGTATCAGGCTAGCTGATTAAAAAAACATATAAAGACACAGGGTCTTTGTTGCAGAAAAAAAATTACTGAAATTCAGTTATTTAGGAAAAAATGTTCAGAAAGACTTAGGACATCTCTGTTAAAGGAAAATAATTTCTGTATAACTTTGTTGTGCAATTTACATTCCCTTAGAAAATAAAAATTCAGCCTTATTCAATTAACTCTTAAATCTTTAAGTAAATATTAGTGTCCCAAGAAAATACTTGTACTAAAACTAAGAGCCATTTTGCTGATTTATATTTATACATTTATAAGATTAATATTGAATTTCAATATAATTATATTCTGAATTCAACAGGAAATGGTTCAGAAGTTACAAGATTTCTCTCAGCACAGCAGTCATGTGAGCGGCGACTGCACTGTTGTTTGTATACTGAGTCATGGTGAGGAAGGTTATATCTTTGGTGCAGACGGTAAAAAGTTTGAGCTTGACGCTGTGTTCTCACTGTTTGATAACACTTGTTGTCCAAGTCTGAGAGGAAAACCGAAACTGTTCATTATACAGGCTTGTCGTGGAGGTAATGTTTTACCTTGTCTTTTTTTTGGTAAATTACTTTATAAAAATTTATTGTTGGAAGCTATAAGCTTACTGAAGCACTATCGACTCCGATCCTGGAACCAACCAGAACTAAGCAATGAGTGTAAAGTACCTTTGCTCAAGAAAACAACAGCTTGCCCCTGACTTGGCCCAAACCCATGCGGCTAGCAATCTTTATTTTACTAGTCCAACTTGATAGCCACTTGGCCCTGCTGCCAATGTTCATAAATTGTTTATCAAAAACAAAAGAAAAATGGTATTGTTGTTATTAATTGGCTATTTAATACAGCCTTTGAGTTTTGATGCAAAGAAATTAAACAGGAAGTGGGGTAAACTAAATATTTGACAGTTTTGTACAATATCCTTGTATCATTAAGTAAATCATGAAAAAAAATACAAGAAAGTAACTTTTTCATTTTAATTAAATTATATATCTTAATTTTCTAGTTATCTGTTAATTATTTGTAGATAATTACAGGACAATACGGATACTATTGGACTCATACACAGCTGCAAAACCTATATTAGACTTGGCTTGTGTCTAGTCCAATATAGCTTTGATGGCTATGCTCAGGTGCAATTGAATTCAGTATTGTACACAGAGTTTTTTTTCTGGCCAATTTAGATGACCAATATTGGGTCATGTTCCCAATGCCAAAAAGTATTATTTTTTTCCAATTTCAAGAAGAAAATTCCCAATTCAAAGAACAAAAAAATAAATCAAGTAAAATTATTGCCATTTTGTTACATTTAACTGCTCTGTGCCATAGCAAATTGTTATCTAGTATTCCAGATAGTAATATGAGTTATGAGTAATATATAAAAGGAATTTGCTTCTAGTTTTTTCCAATTTGTGTAAAACATTGTAAAAATTCCCATTTCTGTGTGTCGTGCCCTGTACCTGACAATTTATGACAACCTTGTATTATTGCAGGTGCACTAGACCGAGGTGTGCAGTATTACCCTGATGAACATGATGGGTCAGATGCTCGTGTAAGGCAGGTGCCCTCTATGTCTGATATGCTAATATGTTACCCGACACAAAATGGTGAGTGGTTGTCTAAATCTGGAAAAAGTATGGTATACAGAAAAAGTTCTTTTCTTCGAAGTTAATGTGATTGCCATTATTTAAATTGATTTGGTAATGTTGAGTAATTTCTTGTGAAATTAATGTTGAATTATCATTTAGGTCAACATGAGTCATTGCAGTATTTGTAACACTTGAAGATAACTAGGCTGAATTCTTTTTGGGTGATTTTTTATAAATATCATCTTTTTTTCTTCAAATCTGTAAAATGTTTTTGATGATTATCATATGGGTTCTATCGATGGCAGCTCTAAAGCAAGGTATATTTTACCAACTTTAAAAGACTCAAAGACCCTGATATACATTGGCTTGCATTTAGACCAATTAACTATTGTCACCACTTTTTTCTGCTGCCTGATTAGCTGAACAATTACTGTTTGATATATTGATGAACTAGTTTTGATAAGAATGTCGGTGGTTCTACTCAGGTGCCTGTTTGTGTCTGAAATGATGCACGAAAGGGCACCTGTGGTTTTCTTCAACCAGTAAAGCTGGAAAGTGGCCATAAGACCTATCTTGTGTTAGGTCAGTGGTGTAACATACAATCCAACTAAATAAAAATAGATAAATAAGAACGTGTATATATTAACAGGGTACTATGCATGGCGTAATCGTGACAGGGGAAGCTGGTATGTAGAGGCCCTCGTTCAGATATTTATGAAGTACGCTAGATGTGAGGATGTATGTACCATGCTGAATAGGGTAAGTGCACAAAACTTTTCTCTTTTTTTTTTCAGGTGCTTAGATTAAATATTCAAATCTAGTTTGAAACTTTGGACTCAATGAATGAAAATATGTTAAAATACCTTGTTGAAACCTTCTAACTACACAAATGATGATGAAAATAATTGAAAATGCCAAATGTTCGATAGAGAGGAAAAGCATATAAATCTTTGTTGAATATTAGTGAAGAATGATGTGATTGAACATGAAATAAGATTAAAGGGACTCCACTGAGGGTTTTTTACATGAATGGACTGGAAATAATTTTTCAACATTTAATGTAGTTTTGGACCGATAAATTTCACTCACTCTGTTTTTTAGATAAATCAAAATGACTTAAAATTGAAAAGCATGGCAATGGTTTTTATTTGAATTGTGCTTAGCATAGGACTAAAATACAATTTTCAATTGTTTCATGAGAAAAAACAAAATCCTACAATATTTCCTTAACTTTTTAAAACAGAAACATGTTAGAAATAATTGTTATATTGAATGTATTGTTATTATATTGCACATTATAAAGTTAACTAAGATGTCTGCAAGGGGCTTTCGATTTTTTCATGTGAAGAAACTATCCAGCTAGCTTACGGAATGTGAGTGGTTCTACTCGGGTGCCCACTCCTGCCTGAAATAATGTATGGGGTGCACCAGAGGTCTTCCTCTACCAGTTAAGCCAAAGACACCATATGACCGCTTCTCTGTTGGTGTGACATGAAACCCAACAAAAAAAATACAAGCAAAAAACAACAATAATAAAATGAAAATAAACCTGTATTCATTGTTTGATCCATTTCCTAATTAGATTTTATGTTATGAAATAGAAAAAACAATTTTAATGACAATACATGTTTTATCCACAGAGAGTACAAAAAAATCCATTTAATTTTTATTGTAATATGTCATATTTTGATTACTTTTATAGGTAAATCTGCTGGTATCAAAGAAAGTGTCACATTGTCCTAATATAGATATGGACCAGATGAGTCAGATGTCAGAGTACAAGAGTACATTGAGGATGCCTCATCTATACTTCTTCCCTGGTATTGGTGGCTGCAGCTGAACACTCTATGATAAATCTGTGTCCACCCATGTTGAAGGTGTTTGCG